TTTTTGGGCAGTGTAGAGTAGGGCTTGTTGTTTGTCATTTCTCCGATCACAAATGCAGACATGGTTTTATGTTTATGCGGCGCAATGCAACGCAACGCATAAAAAGACAGTATAAGTCATTATAATCCGTAATTATGTCCCCACTGGATGCTACAAATGCCTTGTTTATAATGAGTTTTAATGTTTTTGTCTCGTCGCTCCGGCCGGACAGGGCATCACAGTATGGTAAGGGGCGTAACATTTCCGTCACATACTTGAGGTATTCGGCCAATCACAATGCACTGGATAGCTGGCCAATCAGAGCACACCTCGCTTTTCAGACCGATGAGCTTTGTAAAAATCTACGTTTTTCAGAAAGGCGGGGCATAGAGGAGAAACAATAATGTACAGTATGTGGAAAATAATGTGTTTTTTTTTACCTTAAACCGCACAAACACATTTCATTACACCAAATACACAAAATAATGTGCTTTTTAGCAGCATCATATGACCCCTTTAAAGTTACTGTCACATATGCAATATATCTGTACTAAATTCCTTATTTACCACTATATAACTATATATTTATATTTACCTATATATACAATATATATATATATACACTGTAAAAAATAGACCTGTGAAATTTATGGTAAAAACTATTTGATACAAAAAAATACGGTAGCAGAATTTTAGGTTATATGAGACTGAACTGAACATTATTTTTCATTAACTGATATAATGTTAATATTACAACTAAAGTAATAACATCTGTTTTGTACCAGTATAATGTACTGATAACCACCATAATAATATATGTGGTAAAAGAGACAAAATTTGCCTTCTCATAAACTGAGGTAAATACTAACATAGAAGGTGCACACAGTGTCATGCACACAAATACAGGGTAACATGGAACTGTACATGGTAACACAAGTGACATAAAACAATGCAATAACCTTAATTGAAAAACAGAAATTGTTAAATGAAGCCCAAATGACAACAAAAATGAGATTCCAAGTGCCAAATATGTCGCAGGTAAATGTGGAAATGTCAGTTTATGTTTTTTCACTGTAAATTAGATGACTGCTCATTTTTACTTCCAAAATCTGTACATTTAACAGCATTTTACTTGTTTACTGTAATGTCCCGCTAGATCTATTACAGTTTTTCACTGTACATAATAAAGGAACTTGCCATTACTGACTGTAGCCGTTTTACAATGTTTTAATGTTAAAATGACAACATTTCTTGCAGTGTACCTTCTCTTGCTGTATTCTAGATGACTTCAAAACCCAGATATTCTGTCTATGGTGGCAAAATCAATGATGTTGGATTTCACACCAACAGGAGTCTCAGAAGACTGTTTGTATCTGAACATTTACACTCCTTCTCAAAGATCAGAATCAGATAAACTTCCAGTGAGTACTGAATAACGGCTTCTCTCATCTAAACTAGAGGACAGCACTTTAACTTACGAATTCACAGTAGAAATTATTCTGTTATATTCCAACCCTTCTGACAAAAGCAATTTATGCAAACCAACAGGTAATGGTCTGGATTCATGGAGGGGCTCTGGTCACGGGCGGTGCTTGCACGTATGACGGATCCCCATTAGTGCCCTATGAGAACAGTTGTGATTGTCATTCAGTACCGACTTGGAATGTTAGGATACTTCAGGTATTCATTTATGGTGGAGAAAGTGGGCATTACTTGTGCAGTCTGTCCCTTAAGAATGACATCAGGTTTCTAGTTTCATACTGAAGCTGCTTCTGCAATGGGTTATAATAACACATACTTCTGGTTTTAGCACAGGAGATAAGAATGCTCAAGGAAACTGGGGTTTCCTAGACCAGACTGCTGCTTTACAGTGGGTGCAGCAAAACATTAAAGGTTTTGGAGGAGACCCCCAGTCTGTCACCATAGCTGGGGAGTCTGCAGGAGAAATCAGTGCCTCTTTTCTGGTCAGTAAATGTTTTTAAAAGCAGCATTATCTTCATTATCTTTCTCTATTGTTGCATATTAATTATTTACAGTATGTGCCTGATATGATTAATAATGATTCATCTTATGATTTCTGACTAGTCTTTAAAAAACAAGATAAGTTCCAAGTAAGTTCATTGTGGTCTCATTGGGGTTCCCCTGGAAATATGATAATAAGTGAATAGCTGAAAGACAAGTTGTTAAAACAACATAAGACCTTATCTATTAATAGATTCTCTGTACAATTCAGTGCAAGGATCAAGTGCGTTCTAAAGATGTATTCTTATATTCTTCTAGACATTGTCACCCATGACCAAGGGTCTGTTTCAGCGGGCCATCTTTCAGAGTGGGGTAGAAACTATGGGGGGGCTACTCCATCAAAGTGTTTGCCACGGTATTTAGCCCAAATACAACAATAAATGTGTACTGTTCAATAGTTCCTTATAGGGAATCTGTAGAATTATGTCAGATGCCAAGAATTTTAGAGCCTTGTTAAGTTTAGTTCAGTTCGCTTCATTTTGTCTTTATTTCTTTTCCCGAAGGCCTTATGGTTTCAGCATTTAGACATAAACAATACGTTAAAAAAGTACAAAAACATCCTCCCCAAAAGTTAAATCGATACAAAAAAGCTTCAGCTCAGCCTCATTTGAAAATACACATTAAAATTCCTAATGTAAGGTAATTATTGCCAATGTTTAGAAAAAAAGGGGATTATCTGTGATATGTTTGGCCAGGTGGTGGCAAATGTTACTGAATGTGACTTCAGCTCTAATGAAGTGCTGACCAAATGCATAAAAGAACTGACTGAGGAACAAATCATCAATGCAGCTAAAAAGGTAGGAGCAGTGAATTTGAGAGGAGATACTTTCCAATAGCTCATGAAAAAAATGCAATGCTAAGATCTACTGGTGATATTCTCAGTAAATATACAGCTTGAAAAGAGAATAAAATAATTTCTCAGACCAAATGACTTCCTTAGCAACACATTTTCCCTGGAGCAACAGTTGAAGGGGAATTTCTTAAAGCTCAACTGAGGAGGTACTAAAGAGTGAAGATTTTCAGAAAGTTCCAATTCTTGTCGGAACAACAAATCATGAATTTGGATGGATGCTCCCTCAGGCAAGTATCTGACATTTTTGTATGGAATGGTAAAATGAAACAAAAGGTCTATGAACTATTTTTAAATAGTAATGCATGTGCATATTTTTTTTTCAGGCCTTATTCTCAAAAGACTGGGTAAAAGGGATGGACAAAAAATAGTGAAACAAATTTTGGACATTTTAAAAAAAGATGGAGTAAAACTCAACTTCTCTTCTTCTTTCTTTCCAGATCATTTGTAATGATTTAGAAACTAAAACAGCGATACAATGCAAATGAGTTTACTCGGATTAACTCTTTATTAGTATTTGTCTCCCTCTAGTGAACAAAGTACAAAATATAATTTAGGAGACTCGGTAGAATATGTGTAATCCTTAATTCTGTCATCATAGAGGCCAGGAGTCAATGAAATCACAGCAGAGGAACACCTCAAAACTGCTAAAACTCCAGAGGACATTCACGACGCATTTACTGAGATGCTGCTGGGGGATATTTTTTATGGTGATTCCCTCCATTATGGTTGCATTTTACCACAGAGGTTGGTTGCAATTTTACTGGCAATATTTCACCATCAGTAATGTTTTACTGTTGGTTTGCTTTATTATTTTCCATCATTCTTCGTTCTACACTGATCAAAATTATAAATGCAACACTTTTGTTTTTGCCCCCATTTTTCACACAGATGCTGGAGTGCCTGTGTATGTATATGTGTAACCAAATAAAGGGGGCGGGTCCCAACATTTTGGTGTGTGCAGAGGAAAAAAGGACAGAAGAAGCTATTACGGATTTGAGTTGTGCATGACTGAACAGCTGTTAACCGTATACTAACGAGCAACTGAATGTTGCTGTCGAGCAAATGTGAAGACTGGAGTTACAACAACTTGTATGACTTGCGTGTTTTCATTTCATTGACTTTTCCCGGGATTCAGAGTAAAAGCTCCCTACGGATTAAGGGGTAAAAGCAGAGATGTTTGAACAATCGGGAGAGATTGCATTGAGACACTTGTTACACCTTTGAACTGTTCTACAATTGGACTGCGTTGGACTAAAGAGAACTGAAAATACAGCCTAATTCAGCAGCCTGTGAGTTTTGAAAATCGTTCTTCTTTGAAGGAAATGCAGGAATGTTAATTTGAATAGGGTGAAATTCATCATGTAATTGTGTTCAAGAGATTCTTTTTTTTCTGAAATGTTGAAATGTTCTCTTTAAGGGAATGTTTATTCCAAATCCAAACTGTGAAAAAAGAAGCTGAATTAGCCTTAATTGTGTATACACAGTTTACTTAAAAGGGCCCAAGGGTTGTATCTTTGATAAATTTGTCATTATTTTCTGTTTCTATTGGTTTATTCAGTGTTTATTTTCTTTGACTGATTTTCCAGATTTCAGGTTAAGCTGACTAAATCTTTCTTTTAAGTTGATTCTGAACCAGTCAACTTACTTTGTGAATATTCATCTGCTTGTTATGGCTGGTAATTTGACTTTAGGCAATTGTTGGTTCTGGGGTAGGGGCGTTCCCTTTTATGCTGCAGGACATTGTGAGGTTGGGGAGATATTTGATGGTTTAGGGCTTTCTCATATGTGCTATAAACTCCAGGTTGGGCCCATGACAGAATATAAAGCCTAGAACCCTCCTCATTTTAGCCCAAATATATTAAACAGAATAGTATGGAACGTATTGAATTTGGAGGCAAGGACAAAGATCCTTTGTCACCATTCATCCAGAGCCACAGGATATTTAACCCATATCAAGACGGGCATAAGTACCCGTTTCATATGTATGAGTTCCAGAGTATATTTAAAGATCTTAGACCCAGCTTTGTGAATGCTGACCATGGTGATGATCTTGGATTTGTGTTTGGGGCCTGCTTTTGGGATGGCCATATCAAAGTGGGTATGCAGATCTAAGAACTCATTTGTTTTGGCAAATTATTATGATACTGGACATTTATACTGGACAATTTACTATGCCAGGGGTTTGAAACTGCAAATGATTGAAACAAAAGTGAAAATGTTAATGATGAAGTGGTTATGGATATAAACTCTTTATCATCTAGAGCAGGGGTGGGCAAACTTGACCCTTCCAGGCCACTTTCCTTCAGAGGTTAGCTCCAACTCTAATCAAACACACCTGAACCAGCTAATCATTGTTTTCAAGACTACTAGAAGGCTACAGGCAGGTGAGTCATATCAGGGTTGGATCAAATCTCTGCAAGAAAGTGGCCTGGAAGGGCCAAGTTTGCCCATCACTGATCTAGAGGAACGCTCACTGAGGAAGAAAACCAGCTATGCAGAACCATCATGGTATACTGGGTTAACTTTATTCGTACTGGGTAAGTGGTACATCAGTTGCTGGACAAAACATTTGTTAATGATGATCCTTTATTCCTTAAATAAATAACCACTCACAAAATGGTCCCAATCTGGTGCACTGGCCTGTGTATGACAAGTCTAATAAATACATGAACCTGGGATTGAAGAAAACTGAGGGACAGAGTCTGAAGATGGACAAGTTGATCTTTTTCACTGAAGAATTACCTAAAAAGCTTGCAGCACTCCACGAAGCCTAATTAGTTATTTAATTCAATTAATGCTTCTACTATAAATAAAATCTAATTTGCACATCTGTGTAAATAATTATTCGTCTCCATGCAGTGAAACCGTTCCCAGAGAAACCTTGGAAGCTTGATTTGCAACAAGATTTCTGAACACTTTTCTGTTTTTCTCAAATCCAGCCAAAATCTGATCATTTTTGTCTATTTTATAGTGAAATATAGTAACAAAAACTTACAGAATAATTTCAGATTTCTTTATTAGAAAGGAAAATGTATACTATTATTTACAAATCAAATAGTAAGTATTACCAATAAATAATACATGTTTTTGTAAATAAATAATAAATCTTGCCAATCAATATATTGTGTATTTCTAACATACTTATACTAGGCTATATTACTTACAATTTATTAATTCTTTATGGTTAATGTAAATATGTATAAATGCATACATGTAATAAAGAAAATATATACACGCACACATATTGAAATACACAAATTATATATATTGAAATATGAAAACACACACACACACATATATATATAAACCAATAAAATGTATTTATTTATTATAGCTACATATTCATTTCTGGAATTTTTGTTACTGTTTATCAAAATTCCCATATTTCCATTTGTGTTATTTAATTGTTTGTTGCAATAATACTACTAAACAACGTAAAGGTATGTTTGCAATTGACAATATCAAACGTGAACAGTAAAAAGTACGCAGTGTGCAGTCACGTGTCATCTAGGCTACGTCACTGGATTCCCCCATCCGCTACTGATAATGTTGCGCATGCGCACACTCAGACTAGTTCAGACTGAGCAGCCTGTACATCTCTACGGGCTGGAAGACGAAGCTCCAGCTGGAACATCCAGGGTAAGTATCATCTTACGAGACTTTATTAGGGGGGCTTGACGTTAACAGTTAGAACACAGGTGTTGTTATGTCCATCATGCAGTTTTCTTATGTAACGTTACGTAGCGCGAATGAACATGACGTGCTAATAAAAAAGTATCATTATTGATATTCATTACGCTGCAGGCAGATACTTGTATAAATGCATCCGCGAGCTGTTATATAAATGCAGTTAGCGACGGAATGAACGAGACTCGCGTACTTCCAGCATTTTTAGCCTTCCTTTCCGCATGAAAGTGTGCCATATGATTGCACAGCGTTGTTTACACTAAGAAGGTGGAGGGGGAGGTTTCATTTTGCAAGAGTAAACTGATCCATATAGTGTTGGTGTGAAGAAAGTATGAATGATCAGAGCTTTGAGAACATGGCTACTATGTCTCAAACCCTATAGGGTGTGCCTATATTGCCTAATTTTCAAATAATGCTCACATCCACTTAAATAATGAAAATAAAAAATGTGACTGCATTTATTTTATTTAATCAGTGTTACAAGCAACCAGAGATGCTGATGCATTTTGGGTTATGAAATTAGTGCTAATGAAAATATGTATTTGTTATGGTGGCTAAAATAGGGTCAGTATGACCGTAGGAAAGGTTTCTGATGGACCCTGTGATTTGTCTTTTGATAAGCTGGTATTTTGACTGGCCCTATTTTAAGACAAGTCAAATAAAATGTCTAAAGCACTGGAGCAGAAGTGAGATGGTTTTCAATAGAGAAATCCATGGTATTACCTGCAACTGCATGGAGTCTAGTTCCTTCTCGGTTTCTTTCTATTTCTGTAAACTGTCTGGGACTGCATTAGCAGGTATGCCACCTGACTTACACAGTATTTCAATGTCTTGTGAATAATTGCTTTGTGTGTTGTGAAAAAAGACTCCGACTGGATCAGTGGTTGATTTATATTTAGAGGTAAAGCCATTGTGAAATAATATACAGTATTTGGTATTATTTATATACCATTATTTATTATTTTTATACAATATTTTCTCTTGGCTTTTATTTTGATTTTTATATTTTCATTTAAGTTTAATTTTTAGTCATATTGGTTTGTGTTTTTTGTCATTTTTAAACATTACTAATTAGGTTTATATATTTTTATTTCAGTTTTAGTTTGTTCCGTTTTAGTTTTTATTTATTTCTAGTTAGTCATTTTGGTTCTTTAACTTAAACCTTTTATTTTATTTTATGCCAAGGCAAAAAGTATCTTTTTCTTTAGAGTTTTTTTAATCTAATATTTATATTTTATTTTATCTTAGCTTTATGTTAATTCAATGTTTTTAATAGTGATTTTAGTTTTAGTTCATCACAATAACCCTGTATTTAATCTGTCATCTGTAGCCTAAATCATGAAATGCTTAAATATTATATGCTATGATAATTATTGTTAATTAGTTGCAAGCATTTGCTAGGGGTTTCCTTATTTTTTTTACAGTCACAACCCAGCGATTTATTATGACAAGATATTGTGCTTTGCATTTTGGTCACGGAGTCCTACTAAACAGCGTTAGTCAGATAAACCCGGCATCCAGGCTTGACTGTAGGCCTCATGAACATGCCTACATATTTTTAAACTCCAGTGGCTTGAGATAAGAGTGCTCTTGTTTCCAGAGCCAAGCTGAGGATAATTTTTCATGTCCTATTCAAGTGCAGGCCATTGATGAAAAGCTCAGTGTTAGAAGCAATTCTCAGTCTGTGCGTTCTGTACAGTGTCTCAGGAAAGAGTAGTTTTATGTGACTTTTATTGAATCTGATGCTCTCTGGTTAGAAGCATCGATCCTTTTAGGCTTTGTTTATGTGTCTGATTGTGCGGCATCAGTCAGCGGCTAGCTGATCAAGCCCTGTGCATTCGATCGTACAGAATGGCAGTCTTAAGTTCACAGCGTCTGATACCGTGACCGATACGAGTGAGGTTTCCCTTGAGGAAATAGAAGGACATGTTGTGTAATGATGCAAATGAAACAACCTCAAATTAACCTCTCTGAGGCCTTCGTTTCACATCAGAGATACAGCCATTAATACAGAGAAACCTTTTATACAGAGAAACCTTTTGCACCTGATATAGATTTCTGCTAGCTTTTGCATGATTTTTAAATCCAGACGAAATCTGATCTGTTTTTTTTTTGTCTGGTAACGTATCACTATCCTGCATGGTTAGTAATTTTTTTGTTCCCTACTACAGATCCTCAATTTTACTTCTTGTTTCTATACCAGCATGTAATCTGAATTGGTCTATATTTGTATTTTGCTTGTAATGCATAAACTAGTGATCACTGAACTAGTTCAGTGGTTCTCAAAGGGTGGGTTACAGGTCAGTTCTGATAGTAATAATAAATTAACAAATAATAAAATGCAACAAACCATCTAATTGTGCATAAATATGATGGTAAAATAAATTAATAAAGGGAGGAGAAAATGATTCCTATATCTTTTGTTGTCAAAGGATGTGCGCCTAATCAAACTTGACAGTATTTTATCACAAATTCATCTGTTGCTTGCTACCTAAATTAGGCAAGTGACAGGACAAACGGGTTGCCTGACTTAAAACAAAAAAAAATGTAATTATTAAAATAATGAAAATACAACCCAGAGTTTATTCTTGCATCAAGGATAATCTTGGTTTGTGATTACCACAATGTTTTCAGTTGTGTGATCAATTATTAATATAATAATAATAATAATATGTTTTTAAATATTATGAATAATAATAATATAGAATAAATAAATGATAAATAGTAATAAATATAGATTATTTTTAATATGATAATTAATTGCATTATATATATATATATATATATATATTAGAAGTCATTGTTTTTTGGATTATTATTACTAATATTAACTTAATTTCAGTGTTTGCTTTTATGAACATTTTTGTGTTTTTGTGTAATAAAAGTTGGGTCGCCATTTGACAGCCAATGTACCGTCTGGGTCTTGACGCAAAACTAATTGAAAGTCACTGTTCTAGCTTAGCAGTTTTCTAGTATTTTGACCGACTTGACCTTGCACACAAGCCAACCCAATATCTCCCACCCTGAGACATTCATCACACATGTAATTATCTTTCTTTCTGCACTGCTGACTCTGATATCACTGCACTGCTTTGGTGACCCTAACCCATTCAGCCCCTCAAACCAGTGGACCAGCTCATCTGTGTCCCGTCACTCTGACAGCAAATCCTCTGCGCTGGGCCCCGAAGCTCACGAGGAAGTAGCATTTTGATGGATGGAGTAAAAAGAGGGGGCAGTGCTCCAGTGCAGGGAGGCAGGAAAATTGCAGCATGTGCATTTACCCTCTTGAATGCTGAAATTTATGAAATGCACGACAACATGCTCTCCCAGAGAGGCAGCCATGTGCAGGAGTTTGGTATTGGTCTTAACACTCACCCAAACATACAGCTGTTTTTTTCTGCCTTGTGCTTCTCAAAGATAAGTGTGAAAATAGGCGGTGGCAAATTGACACGCTCTCTGACTCTGGTTACTGTGTGTGTGTGTGTGTGTGTGTGTGTGTGTGCGTACTTTTGAGTGCGTATGCCAGCCAAGTCACGCTCCTCCAGCTCTGCATTATGTAACCGTCCTCTCGGTCCTAATGCATTTCTCAGGGTTTTGTCAAAAGCCTAAGGGGATGTAGTTTCTGGTGTTTTTTCAGTCTTGTAAAAAATAATTAACGTATAGCAAGAATGATTGTACTTCTTCATGCAGAATTCATATATTATTTTCATTCGGTTTGACTTACAGAAGCTGCTGCTCTGGTAGCCTTGCAGGGTCCACTGCATCTTTAGGTTGGTACACACTAGTTATATCACTTATGGATAATTTTAACTGATAGCCAAAAAACTACTTTTCATGATTCGACCAGTTCCTAATAGATCAAACTAATCCCAAACCCCCACCCAACCACAAAATTTCATTCTGAAATAAGTTACTCTTAGACAGTAAAGTGGCTTGCAAATAGCAGGTTAAGGGATAGTTCACCCCAAAATTAAAATTCTGTCATCATTAACTCTTGTTTGAAGATTGTGGGCAACCAAACAGTTTCTGGACCCCACTGACTTCCATTGTATTTTTTCCCCATGCTATGGGGACCTGTTTGGTAACCCACATTTTACAAAATATCTTATTTTGTGTTCAGCAGAACAAAGAAATTCAATTAGGTTTGAAACAAAATGAGGTTGAGTAAATGATGACAGAATTTTTATTTTTGGGTGAACTATCCCTTTAATACTCTGATCCAACATAACCCCTGGCCTGGTGTCTGTTGGGGCAAAGTGAACTCGCCTTTAGTTTGAGAAGGAAACGTGTCACTTCTCTTTAGAGTTGTATGAGAAGCAGATGGCATTTTCACACAGGCAAGATTAAGTACTTGTGTATATTATACTGTATCCATGATATCAAATCAATAAGCATTACCATATTTGATGTCCTGGAGGTCTGAGAAGGAAAGACACTAAAGACACTCATTGCATTACAAAGATGGCATCATTGTGGTTGTATACTATGTCGAGTGCTTCATAGTAACTCATGCTGCGATCGACTCTGTGTTGCTTCATGCTGTGGTCGGTCTGTATAAACACAGCTGCAAGGAAGTTTACCACAAAATAGGACATTAAAGTACCATAATGTTACACTTCATTCAAATGTTTTGAATGCTTGATGTTATATATTTATTACAATTATTAACATTTATTATAATTAATACAATATTTTTATATGTCTTATAAAATAATGTTAAAAATATGTTATACACTACCATTCAAAGGTTTGGGGTCGGTAAGTTAAAAAAATATTTTTTAAAGAAATTAGTACCTACGTTTATTTTGCATTTTTGCAGGATGCATTTGTTATAACGGATTTCTATTTCAGTGCTGAAATATAATTAAATACTGTTCTTTTGAACTTTCTAGTCATCAAAGAATCACAATTTCCAACCGTTTTCAACAATGTTAACAAAAAGAAATGTCTTGAGCACCAACTCAGCATATTAGAATGAATTCTAAATCTTAGAATATTAGAATGACTGCTGAAGTTCAGCTTTGCATCACAGATATAAATGAAAATATATTAAAATATTTCCATTATTTATATTACAGTATTACTGTTTTTACTGTATCTTTTGATTTAATAAAGTAATAAGTTTAACCGCAAACTATAATAAATATAGATTTAGTCATATTTATTTATAAAATTAAAATTGCTATTTTTTTTTTAGGTCCAGCTGCTGTGACAAAATTGTGGAGCTACAAACAGCGGTTGCCTCTGTGAGTTCTTTTAGCTGACATCATCATATTTCACCTAGTGACTGAATTACCCCCATAACAAAGAATGGAGGGGGCCGTGGTAAACAACCTCATAGACTTTGACTCACCCCCAGAAGGGACAGCTCCCTCTGTTCTTGGACCTCCCAGTGGTGCAGGCTTTTTCTCATCCGAGCCTCTCTTCCCTGAGCCTGCGAGCGACGCCACCATGGAGCCCCTTCTACCAGAACCAATGGCCCCCACACACACTTCCCACAGAGAAGAAGATAGTGACGCCACCGAATCTGCCGACAGCGACAACGAGGGTACAGAATCCCCATCGCGCCCGTCGAGCACACGACGGTTCTCATCCTGCTCCAGTCACAGCGCTGAGGATGCAGAAGAGACGGAGATAAGAGCGTTCATGAAAACCTATGTGGCAAAGCTCTTCCATGGAAGGTGAATTGCGCCACAAACTATGGCTTAAAGAGCCATGGACACAAAAAGAGGTGTTTCTCAGAATGTTCATGCTGCTCTCTTTTATAACTAGAGTTACAGTTTGTTACTTAGTCAAAGCTATTGTATAGTGTCAGAAGGCTTAGAATATAGTGTATGAGTCACATAGACTCCTTTTATGAGGCTTTAATGGGGTTTTTGTCCTTGTTGGAGCTTGACAACCCTTTGTGACTGTGTACTTTTATGGTATTGAAAATATACTTTTGTTCTCCATGGCGGTAAGAAAGTCATAGGGGTTTAGAACAAGTAAACAATGACAGAATCTTCATTTTTTTTTAGGTGAACTGTTCTCTTGAATGAGTAAGAAATTTCACACAGATTTATAGTCACATGTCAACCGATGTGTATATTTGCATTTGTTCCTGTTGTTTGAGGTACTCTCTCACTCTCCTTATCCCGTTCCCTTTGTCTTTCTCTTCCTGCTGCTACTCCTGGTTCCTTTAATTCTCTTTTCCTCTCTCAGGGAGGACTTTGATCATGAGGAGAAGGCTCACTTTGGAGAGCTGTGCACTGGAGAGAATGGCAAAGGCAGGGAGTGGTTTGCCAAATATATCAGTGCGCAGGTATGAAAGCAGCAACGCTGAGCAATTATGAAAACACAATCACTACATCTCTCTATTCCAATTTCAAAACATTTTATTTTGCTATTATGGTGATGGTCATTTTGGGTAATGGCTTAGACCTTTTTCACAGATTCTGCACCTGAGGTGTGTGAACGGTGTTTTTATCGTTATCTAAAACTAGTACTATTAAAAATGTTTTTTGATAATTGAAATAAAATATAAATATTGAGATGAACAATTAAAAAAAAAAACTTACTACGTAAATGAAAATTAGAATGGTTGCCTTGGCAACTAACTGAAATAAGTGTTTGTTGAAGCACTAATTTGAAGTACTCAAGTGACTAAAACTGAAATAAAAATAAAACGTTAATAGAAATATATATATAAAAAAACTTAATAAAAATGACAAAAGCACATAAAATTACTAAAACTAAAATTAGGTTCAGTGCCCTCCACTAATATTGGCACACTTGGTAAATATGAGCAAAGGTGGCTGTGAAAATAAATCTGCATTATTTATCCTTTTGATTTTTCATTTTAAAAATTCACAAAATTCTAACCTATCATTGAAGTAAAACAATGGAAAGTCAGGGGAAAATCTCATTATGAAATACATATAGTTTTCTATAGCTCAGGTTGGCCACAATTATTGGCACCCAATTATTGCAACGTTCTTTTCCTAAGATAACAGCTCTGAGTTTTCTCCTATAATGCCTGATGAGTTTGGAGAACACTTGACAAGAGATCAGAGACCATTCCTTCATACAGATTCTCTCCAGATCCTTCAGATTCCCAGCTCCATGTTGGTGCTTCTTCTCTTCAGTTCACACCACTCAATTTCTACATAGGGTTCAGGTCAGGGAACTGGGACGGACATGGCAGAAGCTTCATTTTGTGCTCAGTGACACATTTTTGTGTTGATTTTGATGTTTGTTTTGGATCATTGTCGTGATTGTAGATCCAACCACAGCCCATTATAAGTCTATGATACCATGTATCTGAACAAGGTGTTCAGGACCTCCGGCAGAAAAATAGGCCCACAACATTTAAGATCCAACAGTATATTTAACCGTGGGCATGGGGTACTTTTTAATCCCTGTTTGCACCAAACCCATCTGGTGGGTTTGCTGCCAAAATGCTCTTCTTTTAGTTTCATCTGACCATAGAAGCCAGTCCCGTTTGAAGTTCCAATCGTGTCTGATAACTGAATATGCTGGAGTTTGTTTTCAGATAAGCGAGGAGGATTTTTTTTGAAACCCTCCTGAACAACATGTGGTGATGTAGGGGCTGTTTGATGTTTTTTTTTTTTTTTTAGGCTTTCTGACCCTAAGACTCAACTAATCTCAAGCAAATCTCCAGCTGTGATCCTTGGATAGTCTTTGGCCACTCAAACTCTCGTCCTCACCATGCGTTAGGACGATATAGACACATGTTCTCTTCCAGGCAGATTTGTAACATCTTTAGTTGCTTAGAACTTCTTAATTATTTCCTTACAGCCACTTCCTATTTTGCGAAGCGCAACAATCTTGTTCTGCACATCAGAACTACATTTTTTGGTTTTACTCCTTGTGATGGAGAATCAAGGGAATTTGGCATATGTGTTCCTCATATTTATAATCCTGTGGAACAGGAAGTCATGGCTGGACAATTTCATGCTCCTAGTCACCCTGGTGTGCTAAAAAATGTAAATATGAATGGGATATTTTACTCATAATAATTTGTAGGGGTGCCAATAATTGTGGCCAATATGCATTGCATGATCGTTTTACTTCAACGAAAGGTTCGAATTTTGTAAATTTTTTTGAATGAAAGATCAAAAAGATAAACGATGCAGATTTATTTTCACAGCCACCTTTGCTCATATTTACCAAGGGTGCCAATATTAGTGGAGGGCACTGAATAAGCTAATTCAAAATATTATTAAATAATGTAATAGCATAGAAGTCACACTAAAACACCACTGTGTGCAAACGGTGCATATTCATTTCTTCACCTCTATTTAAGTTGGAGAGTTGACACCGTATGTGTGAAAAGCAGAATTACCAAAATGTTGGCCAATATTAAAAAATGTAATCTTTAATAACAATAATAATTTAATAACGCTGTTAAATGTACTCTTATAATGTTGAGATACTTTTAAAATCATTGTTTTTTTGTGTGTGTTCTTAATAAAAAATAAATGTTTAATTTATTTAGTCTTTTCTATTCTTTTTCTATTACTTTAATAGTTGCCATTTATTGGTTATCTACCATAACTTGAAAATAAATTTCGGCCTTAGTTATCCTAAAATACACATCGCTATGAACATCAAGCACAGTCTATTTAGACTCGATGTACCAATCGCTTTCTAAAAGATAAAGAAAACTTATGCAATAAAATGTGCATCAACAAACACAGTTGTGATGATAACAATGCTTTGTGTTTGCAGCGCTGCCACTCCAAATGTGTAAGTGAACAAACGTTCTACAGGCTGGTTCAGTCCTTCGCTGTTGTTTTATTTGAGTAAGTACATCAGTGATAATATCTCAGATGTGTGTTTGACATTACATGGAAGCCAAACCAAACTGTTAAGAGCAAATTTACCAATTGTCTGTAGAACTCTTGGCAAGTCAGTGTGTGGCAAGTGTGACCCATATTTGATTGATTGACAGATGCCACCAGGTGGATGATTATGGCCCAGCCAAACACCTCATGACCATGTGCTTCACATATTACTACATGGGTAAGAGAGTTCGCCATTAATATTAAGCAAGCATACTGTGATGTTGTGAAGAATGTAAGAATCTGATAAAGAAACGTCCAGACCTCCTCTCACTTCCTGTTACAGCCTATGACTCAGATATTACTGGCACTGCCGCTTATTGTTTTGGAAAAATTTTACAATGCCATTTTAATGTGTTTTCAAGGGTGATTGGTTTATATGACCTGGTATAAAACCTAGCGATGTGGGAAAAGGTGCATATACACTACCATTCAAAAGTAAATACGATTTTTTTTAAATTAATAATAATTATTCAGCAAGGATAAATTTAGCTAATTGTTCAAAGGATGACAGTAAATGCATACAGTATTACAAAAGATTTACATTTGAAAGAAAATTCAGCTTTGCCATCACAGAACTAAATTACATTTTAAAAAATATTCTAAAATAGAAAAGAGTTACTTTCAATTGTAAAAATGTTTAACAATATTACTGTTTCTGCTTTATTTTTGTTCAAGTAATTGCAGCCTAAACGTTTTTTTATACATTTTATATATTTTAAAATCTTACTGACTCCAAATTTTGAACGGTAGTGCGGTTTCACTGAATAAATTCACCAAAAAATGCAATTAATAATTACATTTTCTTAATTATTATGTATCCTGTGGTGCAAAACTGCTAATGATTTGGATCCCTTTTGTTGTGATGTTAAGAATTTTTTTGGAATCAAATCATCGAATTCTAATTGTGAAGTGCCTAAAGAGAATCCTACTCCTAATATACACAGTGTGCGACTGCATAGTATGCCTTTTTAATTAAATTCATTTTAATTTCTATTGACTATGTATGTGTGTGTGTTTGTGACAGGTAAGTCCCAGCTGTCTCCCACAGAGCTGCTGGAGAGGCCCAGCGGGGGGGTCGACTCGTATCTGCGCAGTGGAAAGGTCTGGCTCTCTGGGAAGAAGGATATCGCAGAGCGACTGCTCAAAAACACCTCCACTAAGACTGATGTTAAAGGATTCTTTGGGGGTCTGGAGAATAAACTGAGAGGACCTTTGGGCCGAAAGAACGAGTGGGTGATTTTCTGTCGTAGCTATTACTCACTCTTTTAATTAGTAACGCTTCTGCTGTTCACAAACCCATCCCATTCTCATTCTGTCCTCCTCAGAGACACAGAAAAACCTGCTGAACAGAAAACCAAAAAGATTTACATTTGAAAGAAAATTCAGCTTTGCCATCACAGAATTAAATTACATTTTAAAAAATATTCTAAAATAGAAAAGAGTTACTTTCAATTGTAAAAATGTTTAACAATATTACTGTTTCTGCTTTATTTTTGTTCAAGTAATTGCAGCCTAAACGTTTTTTTTATATATTTATACATTTTATATATTTTAAAATCTTACTGACTCCAAATTTTGAACGGTAGTGCGGTTTCACTGAATAAATTCACCAAAAAATGCAATTAATAATTAATTTTTCTTAATTATTATGTATCATGTGGTGCAAAACTGCTAATGATTTGGATCCCTTTTGTTGTGATGTTAAGAATTTTTTTGGAATCAAATCATCGAATTCTAATTGTGAAGTGCCTAAAGAGAATCCTACTCCTAATATACACAGTGTGCGACTGCATAGTATGCCTTTTTAATTAAATTCATTTTAATTTCTATTGACTATGTATGTGTGTGTGTTTGTGACAGGTAAGTCCCAGCTGTCTCCCACAGAGCTGCTGGAGAGGCCCAGCGGGGGGGTCGACTCGTATCTGCGCAGTGGAAAGGTCTGGCTCTCTGGGAAGAAGGATATCGCAGAGCGACTGCTCAAAAACACCTCCACTAAGACTGATGTTAAAGGATTCTTTGGGGGTCTGGAGAATAAACTGAGAGGACCTTTGGGCCGAAAGAACGAGTGGGTGATTTTCTGTCGTAGCTATTACTCACTCTTTTAATTAGTAACGCTTCTGCTGTTCACAAACCCATCCCATTCTCATTCTGTCCTCCTCAGAGACACAGAAAAACCTGCTGAACAGAAAACCAAAACTCCAGGTAGTTCACGATGTACCACCACTGTGTTTTTCATCAGGTGTTCTCTAGTTCTCTCCTCTCACCTGTGGTAATCTCTTGTCATGTCTTTACCAGTTTTTAGATGTCTCACTTTCTCTATGTATACTGATTATGTGATTCAGTGGTTAAGAATCTGGGCTGGTTACCCAAACCATTCATTAGCTTCCACCATTATGCTGTTGAGCAAGACCCTTAACCCACAGAGTTGGTCTCTGTAGACATGTGTACTGCAGGTGTTTGAGTTATTTACTGTGCTTATCTCTGCATACCCTGTAGTTTCTCCCCCTCTCTCCCCGGATAGAAAAGAAGAGGAGAAAATGTACCTGTACACACACCTGAAACAGCAGCCCATTTGGTAGGTTGTCAGTCATAATTATTCAAATTAACAGCTGAAGTTATTTCTAAAATGTATCATTTTACATAATTAAAAATTCATGTTATTTACATTTTTTGTATGGACTGCATTTGTGGCATATTGTCAGTGTTTTAAGTTGTTTTAAACAGCGGTTACATTGGTTTAAACATATTCAGTCAGCGAATACATCGTAATCATATTTCATGCCAGAATGAAGTAGAATGAAGAAATGAAATTGGATTTTGCATTGTTGTTGTTATTATTATTATTATTATTATTATTAATGTGAACTTATTTACATTTACAAGAAATTATACCATAATATTCAAATATTTTATCATACATTTTTTTTATTTTATAATTTCTATATATATTTTTTTTATTATTTTTTTTATTTTATTTTTTATTTTTTGCATTACAGTAATTACAGTATTTATTTGATTTGCTTCTGAAGAAACTTTCTTTTTATTATCAATGTTGAAAAGAGTTGTGCTGCTTAATAGTGTTGTGGAAACATCAATTTTTATGGCAGCATTAAATAAATTTGCTAGAACAAATAGTACCATAATATTAAAATATTTTACATTATATAAATAATATATCACTATTTGTTTGTCATTACAGTTATGTTGTCAGTTTACCACAGAAAGTTATCTTTTGTAAAACAAAACAAAAAATCTATTTGCAATAAGACAAACTGAAGCCTAGCAAGAAAGGAGGCTGATGGTTTTTATCGACAAGGTCTGCTGATATTTTAAAAGTTCTCCAAAGCAGTTTTAACATTGTTCAGGCACTAGGTCTAATCATTTGCCACATATAGATGCTAATGTTGCTTTGGTTGCATCTGTTTCTCTTTGTCTTTTTTTTTTAAAAGGCACACTTTGAGGTTTTGGAACGCAGCGTTTTTCGATGCTGTCCACTGTGAGAGAAATAAAAGATCCCCCACAACGAGGTGAGAGAGTGCAGGGTTTTTCACCGTATACGCTGTAATTCTTATTGCTTTTTATAGAGTGCTTCTTTTCTCTTTCTCCTGATATATCGTGCAATTAAACAAAACAGACTTTGCACGGCACCTACTGCGCATGTAAGATTGCGTGTTTGTTTAGACTGCGTGTTTGTTTGTGTGTCTGTTAAAGCCAGAGGGAGAGATCGAGAGTTTACTTTGTGTTTGATAGATTGTTAGTGATGTTGAAATAAACTACCCTGAAGTTTCAGCCGAGGTGCGTGACTGTGTGCCCGATGCATATGACAGTCTTGCAGTGTGTTTGTAGTGGAAATATCTGATGTCTGGATGCGTCCTGAAGTCTTTCTCTGTGCTCTTATGGTTTACTCTTCCACAATGCTCATCATCCTCTCTTGCCTTTCTTTCTCTTTGTGGCTCTTTCTCTCTCTCTGCATGTGACTTTAACCCTTTATCTCCCTGTGCCTTGCTGCCTCACGCAGGCGGACGGCTGAGGAAGAGAAAGATGAAAGGTCTGTCCTTCATTCCGTCTGCTGCTCTGGACATTGCAAGATAGAAACAGGAAAGCCAAAGAAAGAGGAGGATTAAAAAGGAGAGGAGGGACAGTTTGATCAGTTCGAATGAAATGAGAGAAAGATGAACAGAGGATACGTTTGGGGGAAAGTGGAGGGAGTTTAGGAAACGAATGACACACTGACAGAATCAGGCCAACGTTTTATATACTTTCATTCTGCGCCGGGTTTTCATAGTCGTGGAAAACTTCGAAATATCAGGGGATTGTTTTGATATTCCAGACCTGAAAAAGAATTCAAATGAATAAGAAATATAATAATAAAATCTCAAATACAAACTCTTAATTATTTAATATACACTAACACTGCTGTTTAAAGGTTTGAGGTTGGTAAGATTTAAAACATCTTACTGAGGCTGAATTTATTTGATCAGAAATACAGTAAAAACAGTAATATTGTGAAATATTATTACAATTCAAAAGAACTGTTTTCTGTTTTAAAATGTAATTTATTCCTTTGATGATAAAACTTTATTTTCAGCAGTCATAATTAAATGATTCTAATATGCTGATTTGTTTTTTGGGTTTTTTCTAGCTCCACTCTAAAATATTTCACTAACTAGAAGTTCCTCATTTTGAAAGCAATTCACTGACTGGAAAATTCTCAGGTCAAAAAAAGTGGGAACCCTCTATATATTTCAGTGCAGGATCCAGTCAGGAAGCTGTGTAACATTCTGATAACATTTTCATCAGTACTCAAAGGAAACTAGGTCCTCCAAAAAAGCACTGACTCATGTTGGCCACATATTTGCCTAAGGCGTAATGCATTGTCTTTTTTATCATGTTGTCTACATTGCACAACTTTAACTTTGACATTTTGGATCTTAAAAGTGGATAAAATATTTATTAATACTAATAGTTGTCCCATAAAAGTGAGTTGTATATCTATTCTGACAGCAGCGAAAACATTAATAAATACAAACAACCATACACTCATGCAGGTAGTATAGTAAAATAAATAGGCTTATTAACTTTTAAACGGAAAGAGAACACGCTTTTGTTGTTGATTTCAAAAGCCTTGCATCCAATCAAACACAGTATTTTGGCATGGCATTTCAAATTCATCTGGCCAGCATGGACAGGTTGCATGACATGCCCTATTTATTGAAAACCATAATATTAATACATTTCAATGTTTAACCGAGGACATTTTTGTTTACTTTTGTACCATAAACAATTTTGGGACTGTTTTGGGGTCATTGTAAAAATCTGTGTTCTGGATCCAGCTGGGAACCACTGATCTACATTACACAAAATGAGAAGTAGTGAGATCACAGTATTCACTCTTTGCCTTTTCCTCTTTGACACTGCATTATTTGCTATATCATTGCATGCACTCAGTCTATTGCATCCAAGTGCCTATTCATTGCTATGTCAACTGCTAACCAAGAACAGCTTGAACTATTAGAGGTGTTTACTAAGGCAAGGATAACTATTACTAGTGGACATACTTGCCGTTAGGGGTTCTGTCAAATCCCCAGCTGTAAGTATTAACCTGTACTTTGACCAGTAATTCATCCCACACTGTTTGTGCTACAGACATAAATTATTCATCAAGTCATCAAATCTCTTGTTGAAGAGAGATGTTACTTTTATTACTTTTACTTAGTGTTCAGACAATTTTCATCTGGTAGGTGATAAAACGAAAAAAAGAAAAAGAAAATGCATTGGAACAGAATACAGTTATATATTAGTGTAAGCCATGGGCCAAAAAAAAAAATAAAAAATTCCAGTGAGATCTTCTCTTTATTTTTAGGAAAGGAACATTTTGCACATGGAAAAATGCATTGATTTGTTGACTGAGCATTTTTTTCCTGTTTCGAGAGCTGAGTTATGCTGTGGTTCCGTGTTGCTCATATGCTTTTTGTTATTTAAATTTTGTCTTGTTTATGTTTTGACTCATTGTGAATCATGGCTACAGCTGTCTGCTCACTAAACCTGGATTTTGCATGAGCACCAATGAATGGCTAATACACATTTGTTCTTTTGTATGATTGTTTTTACACCTTTTAACTCTCTAACCTCCCAGTATTTATCGTGATGTGTTAAACGTTTCTGAGTGAACTTTAACATTATGAAAGATACTGTGTTGATGGTCTCTCATGCTTGATGAGAGAAGTATCAGTGAGAGAAATATCATTGACCCCCTTGTTTTTGCACCTTCAGAGAAAAGTGGTGCCATATGACCCAGGAAGAGAAAGACGATAGCTCCAGATTTAATGAGAACATCACCTTCGGTCAGCTGGGGTGAGTCGCATGGCATTGGTCTAATTTTACACAATATTGACAAAAAAAATGTTCACTGCATATTTTCGCCCATTGTTTTGTATGCTCATATGCTCAGAAATATTTGCTTCTGTTTATCCAGAACATTCACCCATAACATGGTGGCTTTTGGATTGAGCAAGAAACTCTGCAATGACTTCTTGAAGAAACAGGCTGTCATTGGAAATCTGAATGAAGGTAAATCACTTTCCAGCTTTCTGTTCCAAATTTTCAAAAAAATAATTACATTTCTGTCAGGACCACTATCGTCAAAATGATAGATACTTAGCATAAAATTTGGTTTGGCGGTATGGTTCTGTTCTGGGCAAAAACCTCCCTGCCCATCCATGCAGCCTGTCATGAATGAGCAGGGAGAGCAGCAATAATAACCCCCCCAGGGTTAACAGAACAGAACAAGGCAGATATCATTAATGTACTTAATGATATTTAAGTGTAACACTTTATTCAAGATAAAGGAGTCTGATTAGCAAGGAATATCAGAAAGCCAAGTCCTGACTGTGGCGAAAGGTGAGAGGAAAGTCATCCTAGGTGTATATGACTTTCCTCTTTCAGACGAATCCAGTCAGAGTTATATTAAAAAAAGGTCTTTGATCTTTCAAGCTGTTTCATGGCACTCAGCAGGTGTTGCATGCATCAGTCCAAAAGAACTGAAGTTAAATAAAAATCGCCCATCCATAAAAAAAAAAGTGTCTCACACGGCTCCGGGGGTGAACAAAGGCCGTCTGTAGTGAATCGATGCGTTTTTGTAAGAACAATATCCATATTCAAAATGTAATCACTTTAATCTAGCTTGCTCTCACTGTTGTACACTGGAAGCAGTTCCGAGCGGATGAGGTATGAGGTCAGCGCTGTGCATGCGCCGCTCAGAAGTGACGAATGCGGAAATGCAGCGGAGAGATCAAAACAAAACAACAGTCACTAATTAGAAGTACAAAACGAGGATTTGTAAAGAAGAATGTCGGAGGATTTCGATATAAGCCAAGAGGAAACTTTGCTTCCTTTGCTCCTGTTAACAAACGTTGGTTTTCACGAGACTCACCGGCGCATGCGCAGCACTGACCTCATACGTCATGCTCCCGGAACTGCTTCTGTGTACAACTGTTGGTGCAAGCTACATTAAAGTGATTATTAAGTTTTGAATATGGATATTGTTCACCTCCTGGAGCCGTGTGAGGCACTTTTGGTTTTTTATGGATGGGTGCTTTTTATTTAACTTCTTTTGGACTGATGCATGCAACACCCGCTGAGTGCCATGAAACAGCTTGAAAGATCAAAGACAATTTTTAATATAACTCCGACTGGATTCGTCTGAAAGAAGAAAGTCATATACACCTAGGATGACTTTTGGGTGAACTAACCCTTTAATTACAGTACCGTTCCAAAAAAACCCAATCTAAACAGTTTTTATTGTGAAATATTTTAGCTGCCATTATTAAATTATTGTAATATGATGATTTAGTGTTCAAGAAACATGTTTTATTATTAGCAATCTTAAAAACAGTTGTGCTACTTAATATTTTTGTGGAATGTGATACTTTTTTTCTGGATTTTTGATGAATAAATATGTTCAAATGAACAGTATTCGATAAGTTCAAATAGTATTTACTGTCACTTTTGATCAGTTTAATACAAGTAATAATAATAAAAGTAATAATTTAAAAGTAATAATAATTTCTTTCAAAAAATATTTGAACAATAATGAATGTGTAAATATGGTTCACACTTTTTATTATCCTTTTTCAGAGCAATACAAGCTGCTGTGTGACCACATTGAGCAGATGGCTGCAGAGTGAATATCCAAAATCATCTAAAATCTGCCATCCACATCAGCACATCCATTCAAGCTCTAATGATCAGTATTCCACAAATGGCAACAGTTTCGCCTCTGTTATCACCCCAAAGCCCTACCACTATCCTTACCAACCAGTACAGAAATAATGCAACTAAAATAGTTGGCATAGATCAGCCACATCCCATGATCCTATAGTGTCCAGCTGCAGTGTAAAAATTGTTTATTTTTGTTCAAAATGCAACAATGTGAAAAAAAAACTCTGCACATACTCTGGAATGGCAATATGGCTCAGAGTCTTCAGGCATCATAAGACACAATATAAACTCTGTATTATATATTATGACGAGAACGCGATGCAAATCACCATTTATAATATTCCACATATCTTTCCTCCTACTTTTATGTACAGAACTATAGTACTAAAAGTGTTCTTAGAGCAAATACAATGACAAATGATGAACAAAAAATGAACACTGTCTAACAATATCAGTATGTCACTATATCAATATCAACAAAATCAATGTATCAATATTATTGGTCAATATTTCCAAGTCCATCTGCTCCTGTTTGATGTTCCCATCTATTGCACTTTTATGGTTTTGTGTTCTTCCTCTATGGATAAATTGAGTATTAGTGTTTGTGACATGCTCATAATATGTGGAGACTCGAACTATGTCTGTCCCCCGGTTTAAAGTGCCTTTAGTCATATATTAAGCGGTGATCTTCCCATTTTAGTGCGAACAAACCTGTGTCAGCATGCTGTTATCCTCCCATGACTCTGGGGTAGCGCTCATAAGTTTGTGCACCCTGCCAATAGATGTGTTCGTGTTGAATGGATAATGCTTGCGGTTCGTATTTGAGTCAGTTAAAGAAAAGCATCATGCTGCAGCTGTTTCGATGTTGTACAGTGTTGTGTCTTTAGCGCATGGTATGCATGCACGTTTACCATCTACTTACACTGTTGTGCAATTACATTTCAAGTCAGTAGAGGGCAATCATAACCCTCCGCTTCGACTGAAGATCGGTGGAAGTGAATGTTAACCACTGAGTGGGGTCTTCAAGAGCTTGTATTGGATCATATGTCCTCTATCTGAGGAAAAAATAAATTTTATATATCTGGATTGTAAATACAGATTGTTTTGTTCACACAATAATGAGGAACTGGATACTAACAATGGGCTAGTTTAAAGGGATCATCAGATTGTTGGGCATTTATTTATTCAGTGTCTGTATGTGTTGTTGTACATGAATGCATGGTTGTATCAGGAATGTGCTGGATCCAATATGGTCTTTGCATTTCAGATGATGTTGTTAATATTGTGCTGTCTATGTAAATTTACTGTATGTTCATAGTAAGCGCAGTGGTCTGCATTGTATTTTTCCCAAGTGCCCTGAATTTCCTATTGGAACGTACCTAGAAACCAACAAGAGAGGTGTTGACCTGTCTCTAATGTGTGAAGTGTTTATAATAAAAAATCCAAACAAAATTCTCTTTTCCTGTTACATGCATTTTTATCTTTTAAGTCCAGATTCAGCTATGGAGTATGAAAGCATCCTTAACAAGAAAAACCTATAAGGTCTCTTGTGGTCACCAAGGCTGTGTTTATTTGATTAAAAATACAGTAAAAGCAGTGATATTGTGAACATATTATTACAATAAAAAAAACATTTTCTGTTGTAATTTACTTGATTCTTGTGATGACAAAGATGAATTTTCAGTGGCCATTATGCAGTCTTCAGTGTCCGATCCTTTAGAAATCATTCTAATATGATGATTTGGTGCTCAAGAAACATTTTATTATTATTATTGATGTTGAAAACAACTGGGAAAACATTAAGAGATGATTATAAGATGGTGCTCTCTGCCTGATAATGTGTTGCTGCTGAATATGTCTGTGCAGATTCAGCTCAATGTGGGAGTGTTTAAGGCTCTCCAGAGAAGAAAACTGCCAAATGGCTGGCTGTGTGGATAAATAAACAGCAGTCTCACTGGCCTGCACTGATTGGACAAACAGTAATGAGCTGTGAAAGGCCAAGCACTGGTGTCACACAATGAGAGCTCTACTACTGCTAATTAATCCCAGACCCCATCAAACAATGGACAAACTCTCCTTATCTTGAACAGTTAGTGATTGATCACATCCTTCTACACTTTCTTTCTTTCTTTTTCTTTTTCTTGGTCTTTCTTGGACTTATTTTTCTTATCTTCTCTCTTTCATTCTGTCTATGTGTAGTTCTCAGGAAATGGTGAGATTTATTTTCTCTTTCTTTTTTCTTTCTTTTTTTATAATTTATACACAGCCCCTAAGGGGACATGGTGTGTAAAAAAAAAGGATGGGAGAATATAAAACTTTATAAATTATAGTTCAAGGCTTTGACATTCACTCACCAAAGTTTTGTGCTCCATCAAAGTTACTTTGCTTGAAAATCTTTTGCATTTGCTTGCAAAATTATTGAAATAGTTTTTCCTCCAATATCGTAATTCTATTAAGTTTCTCGGGGAACACAAAACTTTTGCAAGCAAACAGTTTGGGTTCCCCCCAAAGAAAAAAAATCTGTTTGGTTATAAACATTTTGCAGAATATCTTCTTTACCGTTCCACAGAAGAAAGAAAGCAATACAGGTTTGGAATGAATTTCCATTTTTGGGGGGACTTGTTCACACCAAGGATGATAACTATAATTATAAAGTCTCTAATTCTTTTAGAATAGGGAAGTCCACACCACAGCTATAACAATAATGACACACAATGAAGGAACGATATTGTTGGAATCACTTTCAGAACGATTTTTCCAGGTGGTAAATGATAAAAACATTGAAGTTCATTTAAGTAATGGAAGTCATAAATCCACCAGAATTTAACAGTCTTGAGCGTTTAAAGCAGCAGACAACATAACAGCAGCATGAGCTTGTAATAAACAGAACATTATCGTGCATTGTGGACACTAATATAGTTACTTTTATAGTTTTTGTTATCATTCTTGGTGTGAACAGGCCTTTGAGAGTTGTATATTCACTATTAAGAAATCATAATTTTCAACCACAGACTAAATGTACCAGGGCTGTAACCTCCATAGAAATAGGCCTATGTCAATATTCAGATTAGTAATTAATAATAGGATAAGAAATATGAGTTCAGATGGCTGACTATTACTCCCTATATCCTAACTATGTGGTTAGAGTCTTACCAAGTCATGTATTGTTACTAACCATGAAGTGCTACAGTATTTCAGTTTTGTTGCAGTTTGGAATTCATAATTTTAATAGACAACTGAGCAGAAAATCTTACTTTTGGTGTGAAATAAATCACATAATGATAAATATTAATATCAAAATATTAACCACCCATGACATTATCTTTCAGCTCAGGTGTCAAACTGAAAATGTTTTTGGGGTTGAAATTTAAGGGGGGCACAAATGGCTCTGTTTCCTGACAGTAAGTCTGCTGTTTATCCATAATATCTCTGTCTGCACATTTTCAAACACAGAATCTCATAAACACACATATACATCCTCTCGTGCATTCATAAAGAGCTTCTCTGTTTGAACCCCTATGCTATAACACACTGTTAGTGTGTCCGTGTGATGTTTGGCTGGCCGGGTACAGACAGTTTGCTGTTGTCGGTCAGTTGGAGTGGACCTCTGAGGCCAGTGCACTTTTCAAGCCCTCTATGGGAGGCTTAACTGGAGTCAGGTTTCTCGCCGTAGGTTAAGTGTGAACCAGATAGCTGGGTGGTCTGTGACAGGGGCCACAAGCACACACTAATGGATCTTGGGAGCTTTCATGGACACGTACACACACAACTGTAAAGGTATGTGTAGACATGCATAGACACTTTCATTCAGACGACATTTGGCCGGCACATCTGGCTCTTAGAACTTGAAACGATTGTTTTCAGGATGGCTTATGTTGCTCAAAAAGCTTCCTCGTTATAAGAAGTGTGTGAAACACATGTCTTCATAATAATCCCACTAGCAGACAGTACGGCAGATGTAATGTCTTTTGTCTGCAAGGTCTGCTTTCTTAGAGTTACACAGTGGTCCATGATACATGATGTGATACATACATAATATCCTCATTTAATAGTGTTTTATATGTAATAGGCAATTTATAAGTAATAAGTTGAAGCATCACATCTCTTTTAGTTGTTTTAATTGTATATAATTGAAATCTCATTTGTTATTATCTATGTATTTAAAACATGGACGATACATTCTTGAATGTTTTTGTTTTTCAATTGTTGTGGGTTCCTTATTAAAATTAATAATTATTATGGTTAAGTCTCAGTTCACCAAAATACACACTAAGAAAATAGTTAATAGTAACCATTGCAAAGAGCAAGCAGTTAAAAACAATATTATAATATAGTAACAAAATTATGATTTTATGAAAACGCATTACAAAAATAAACCAAAATAAATATGAGAATAAACAAAATGTATTTAGCAAAATTTTGATATTATATTACTGATTATACTGTATATGGCAATTACAACTTTTTTACTTTTTAATGTTATTTTATGTTTCTGTTTCAAAATGACTCTTACTACCCTTAATTAGGCTTATTATTTTGCATTTTAGGTTCATTTGAACACAAAGGATGTGTTTTCTGCTAATGTAATTGTAGCAAGTGTGATTTTTTTGTATAGTTTATTGCTTCTTTATCTATTCACATAGGGTGTACCTTCACCCAAGTGTGTGTGTGTGTGTGTGTGTGTGTGCCTGGTCTTCCCTACATTGCTTAGTAATTTTTGACCTTGTGGGGACATGTTGTTGGTCCCGGAAACCAGTTTATAAACCATACAGAATGAAGTTTTTTGAAAATCTAAAAATGCAGAAAGTTTTCTGTGAGGGCTAATGTTAGCGGTAGGGTTAGGGTTAGGGTAAGGGGATAGAAAATACCCCTGGAAACGGAGACGTCTTGGGGTCTAAAAGGCTGAGCTGAGACCACTAGTCAAAATGATTATGAGTAGCATTTTCTGATTTAATTTATGCAAATTTCATTATTAAAATAACAATTTGAGTGAAAAGAAAAATTAAGATGAATTTCAGAATTTTCCGACAAATAACAAAGGATGTGTTTTCTGCTAATGTAATTGTAGCAAGTGTGATTTTTTTGTATAGTTTATTGCTTCTTTATCTATTCACATAGGGTGTACCTTCACCATATGATATAGTTAAGTGTGTGTGTGTGTGTGTGTGTGTGTGTGTGCCTGGTCTTCCCTACATTGCTTAGTAATTTTTGACCTTGTGGGGACATGTTGTTGGTCCCGGAAACCAGTTTATAAACCATACAGAATGAAGTTTTTTGAAAATCTAAAAATGCAGAAAGTTTTCTGTGAGGGCTAATGTTAGCGGTAGGGTTAGGGTTAGGGTAAGGGGATAGAAAATACCCCTGGAAACGGAGACGTCTTGGGGTCTAAAAGGCTGAGCTGAGACCACTAGTCAAAATGATTATGAGTAGCATTTTCTGATTTAATTTATGCAAATTTCATTATTAAAATAACAATTTGAGTGAAAAGAAAAATTAAGACGAATTTCAGAATTTTCCGACAAATAATAATTTTACAACAAGGCCGACTGCACATTATCCCGCTTGTTACATGTCTACTCACCAAAAGAATAAAGTGGATATTAAATATTACAGTTATAATATTACCTATGTATTCACTTTACATTTCGTAAAAATGAAATTAAAAAGAAACGTCCACTACAACATACAAAACAATCAGCCTACACTCTTAAAAATAAAGGTGCTTCAAAAGGTTCTTCAAGCGATGCCATAGAAGAACCATTTTTGGTTTCCGCAAAGAACCATTCAGTCAAAGGTTCTTTAAAGAACCATCTCTTTCTTACCTTTTTGTAATCTGAAGAACCTTCTTCCGCCACAAAGAACCTTTTGTGAAACAGAAAGGTTCTTCAGATGTTAAAGGTTCTTAATGGAACCTTTTAGACAAAAAGCTTCTTCTATGGCATCGTGAAGCACCTTTATTTTTAAGAGTGTAGCAACAAAACAAACATTGCAACAGTGACGCACTAATTTGAATACTGAAGTCCTCTGATTATTTTCACTACTGAGATGCGCAGTAGTAACAGTTGCAATTGTATGAAATGAGAGCGACTCCGCGGTGCGATACGAGCGACGTGAAAGTAGTGCCGGTTGAGATGACTGTGGAAAATGGCGAATATCAGACAAGTAGTTGCGTGACTGATCAGTCAGAATGGAGTATTTTTTAGGGAGCTATATAATGAATCACAATAAAATCAGCAAAAATGCATGCTGTGAGAAAAACTGTATAACTGGTATTAAATATTTAGTGTTCTAACAATAATAGGTTGGCATAGTTAGCAAGCGCCTCTTGCCAAAGCAATAAATAAAGAATTGTTTGAAATCAACAGAAAATCCACTCATTTAGTTAAAAAAAATGCAGGTGTGCTTAAACAAGGAAACACCTGAAAGATTGTATTTGAACTGCTGGTCCTCAATAATGTATATGTTACTGATTTAGTTTAGCTTTAAAGATGGGAATGCGCAAGAACAAAAGGGTGGGCTATTACGAAAATCGAGATAAAAAGTGTTCATTCAGCAGCTGTTAGTCAATTTAAATTCCTTGGTTTGTGTGAGTTAAACTGGAGGAAAATGACCATGTCCAAGCCAGCTGGTGCATAATCCACTGAGATGATGGTTATGTGTGTAATATTTAGTTTGGCGCATAGAACAACACTTGAAAGTTTATTTCTAAATGGCTCTTTGTTATTCCCTCAAAAATTGTATTTTCACGGTATGAGTCACATGAGTAATCATGTCAATTACTGTGTGCGGCCATATGTGCGGGTGAGAGAGATATTTATTGTGCTAACCTCCTATTACAGCTTCTCAGTCAGGCATCTGAAAAGATATGTAAACACACAATCATCAGCGAATACTTCATGACGTCATTCCAAATCAAAGAACAAATTTTACATTTGACTCGAGAGCAGCGGGTGTCCATCTGTGTTTTTCACGACTGTGTCATTTGCAAATTTGGTTGATATGAGGATCACTCGTGCATTAACTGTTTGTCTCACCAGGCTTGCATTTAGTGTACTGCTCTGCTGAATCTCAGCTTTCAAAGGGCCAAATGAGGGCATGAAAGTCAAATAAACCTCAGATTCCTAAAATAAGTGTCAAACATTTACATTATGATAAAAAGAGTGTTTGTTGTAAGGCAGTACATATGGAGTCATAGGTAGCCTGGTTTAGGCCTACCTCAAGTTAAGATTACTTGCATGTGGTGCGGATGTTGGTGTTTAGCAGAAAATGGGAGTGAGAAATATTACATTTAGGCCCTAAACTCAATATAAGTTTTAGGCCAGTAGGTTTTTTGTTGTTGTTTTTCTTCCATTTAACTGTTTTTATTATTATTCATAATGTCTTATCTGCATTATTTATTTATTTATGATAATAATTATTTATTTTATCGCTTTATTTTTTATTTATTTGAGAAAATTTAAATTTCTTGCATTTTGCAACATTTTGGTTCATCTTGAATTGCTTTTAAATTTACTATATAAATATAGTTTGACTTGTCTAAACTGTGCAGTGCTGTGAAGCTTGGTTGGTAGTGGTGAAAGTGTCTGTTTTTCATATTAAACAGAGATCAGTTAATGCATGAAGGTGTCTCCTAGCATTGCTATCTGGATGGGCAGCACTGACTTGGATGTATGAGTGTGTTTCAGAAGCAGGCCTGATAGCAAACATGGATCTTGTGCTCTTTGCATGCAAATAGCGATGTATAAAACGGAGCGCCTGGAAACATAACTTGATTAGCAGCTAATGTTCCTCCCAGAGAGATCATCAATCTTCATCAGCGCCCCAACCCTTCCCTTGGCGTTGAGAGGGTATTTGGACAAAGTTTGAGTTTGGTTTATGCTAGGAGTGAAAATATATAATAAACACACAGATTAAAACTCTTTTGATGCCGGCGGTTTGAAATGGTATGATTTAATGCTGCCTGGAGACGTGAATGCGCATGAAACAAGGGTGATGGCTTCTGCAGTATGGCTTCTTTTCTCTCTTTCTTGATTTGACCCCTGTCTGATCTATCAGGCCTTGTCAGTTCTGTCTCAGATGAGATCCATGCTTTGAACCATGGCTCATTGACCTCTTCATGACTGGATTCATGGTAATTGGTTTGTTGTGATAACCACCAGATAGCGTAACGTGTCAAATATGTTTAGAAAAAATTATGAACATTAGCAGTCCTCTCATTTTTATGGTAAATATGTACATTTCTATGAAAACTATATATACTGTATATATATATATATATATATATATATATATATATAT